AGGAAAAGAGGAAACCTTTTAGATCCTTATTGAGTACAATCATATTTAGACAATAAGTACTATGGATATGTCCAAGTTTATACAGGTGTTTCAAAAAACTAAAATAGCAATAAAGGGGTGCTATTCATTGTTCCAGAATTCAGTATAAAAAATGTAAAATAATTACTGATGGAGTATCAGTTTATACAGGAGAGATGATGGGAATCATTTTGGCTTTAGGATGGATTGAGGAAGTTCGTCCACTGAGAAGTATATTATGTTCTGATTCAAGTTCATCATTATATTAATTTAAAAAATAATCATTCTATTAGTAGACCAGACCTTTTATTAGAGATTCAGTTATTAATTTATAGAATTCAGGCAATGGGTTTATTAGTTATTTTTACATGGGTACCATCACACGTAAGAATAAAAGGAAATGAGTTGGCAGAAAAATATGCAAAACAAGCTACAGAAAATAGTTATATTGATATATTGGTACCATTCTGTAAAGAAGAAATCAAATCTATTATTAAACAAAAGGTTAAAGGAAAGACGGCAGAAGCAGCGGGAAGAAGATAGAACTGGTAGGTGGCTTTACAGTATTCAAAGAACACCCGCACCCCGTCCCTCCTCGTCCCCACCAACTTGCAAAGGTTAGGGACGAGGAGGGTCCCCAACCCTTGGTTATAAGGCTTTGATTCATGTTATCTTCTTTCCTGAATTTAAGTATGCCCTTAAAGTTCGTCCTTTATCACTTTCCTTCCAACCATTATGTTTTCATCATCTGAACTACACCCCCAAGGGTTCTCTAACTGCTTTTAAAACCATGCTCTGTCGTCTTTTAAAGCTTTCGCCTTACCTCTGTCTCTTCCTACCTACCACAGTCCAGCCGTCAAAGTCCATGCCACCATAATCATTTACCTGAGTTATCATCCCGTTTGGTGGGTTTATGCACCACCAAATCCAAAACGATATAGATCAAAAGGTTCACATTTTCAAAGATTTCCCGCGTTCTGCAACTTCCGCCCCATAAGGTCAAGCTTTTTAATAAGTTTATCTAAATGAGAAAGAAATGCTTGTTGAAACCTCGAAAGGAAGTGAAAGCTCAGAAAAGAGTAAAGAAAAGAATGAAACTATTTTACACAGTACCATACTCTCAAGCTTGTCAACTGTCTGCTCCATGCTGCTGCTGCTGCTGCTGCTGCTGCTGCTTCTTCTTCTTCTTCTTGGCGGTTGGCAAGCAACTTACTGATGTGCATTACCGCCATCTACTGGAATGGAGTGTGGATATTCTCCCACAAAATTTTTTTTAAATCAAGTAAAATAAAATAAAAAAAATAAATAAAACGTATATCCTATCAATTTCGTTTACTTAAGATAACTTATTAATTAACAAAAATATTCATAAGTAGAAATGTCCAAAATATCTTGTATGTTTAACTATAATTTATTTTCTTGTAATCGACATACTAATTCCCTCCTCTCAACAGAATATGTAGAACAGAACAAAACATGTTTTACTGTCTTTTCTTGAAGACAAAAATCACAATTTCCTGTTGTATGTTTTCCCATTTTAAATAATGTACTATTTAACCCTGTATGACCAAAACGTAATCTGGATATAATGGTTTCCTCTTTTCTATTTCATCCTGTTCTCCTCATCCCATCGCACCAACTTTTCTTTGAATACTGTAAAGCCACCTACCAGTTCTATCTTCCATAATCAAATACAGACCTTATTAAACCAGTATATATTACTTTCAATGCTTTTCTCTCAGCACCATAGGCACAAATCCCGGGTGGTTCGGGGGGGGGTCCTAACCCCCACAATCTTGGAAAAGTCTAGAAGTCAGATACTTTCTTCCTCGTAAAAAATACGAGAAATTTTAAATCCCCATTTAATAGACCAGTCTTCTATATTATTAATTGCTTCTTGTATCTTTTTAACAATAAAATTTTTATTTTGACCCCTCTTCCAGATTACTCCATCATCAGCAAATAAAGAAAAGCCCATTCCACTCTCCAAATTGTCAAACATCATTAGTCATTATAGAAAAAAAAAGCAAAGGATTCACTATACTTCCCTGAGGTATACCGTTTTCAACAAAAAAATTGACAAATGTTGTCCTATTCTTACTTGTATTGATCTATTTTGTAAAAAAAAAAAATCTTTTGTCCAATAAAACATTTATTGGTTAATTCCCATTTTTCTCAATTTAATTAAAAAAATCTTCTTTCCACATCATATCATAGGCTTTCTCCAAAGAAAACAGCCACCACACTCTCCTTATTAACTTGCCCTTTTCTGATTTCATGTTCTAAACATAGAATAGGATCCACAGTGTTTCTCCAAATTTTGATAAATATCCCCTCTTCTCAACAAAGTAACTCAATCTTTCATTTATCATTCTCTCCATTGTTTTACATGTATGTGAAATTAAAGCAACAGGTCTATAACTTGCTGGATTTGACCATTCTTTACCTGGCTTTAAGATTGGAACCATGATTGCTTCTTTCTACGCCAAAGGTAAAAAACCCACTTCCCATATCTTAATTGAATTCCAATAAAAAAAATTTTAGGTGAATTATTAAGCTTACTAGCCATAATATAAGAAATATTATCTTTTCTTGGAGATTAATTTTTAGATTTTTTTAAAGCACTGTTTAATTAAAATAAAGAAAAAGGACCACTTAATAAGTCATTATATCTTACATTTTCTTCTAATAAATAAACATTTTCATTAATTGTACAAACTCTTCTCTGTTTTTCTTCTGTGCTTAAATTATTACAACTGTGAACTTTAACAAATTTTTGAACCAACATGTTTGCTTTCTCCTCCTCAGTCAGCAATAACATTTCCATCTTTCAGAACTGGATATCCATATTCACTTCTAATTCCATTCATTTGTTTCATCATTCCCCAAGTTTTTTAAATTTTTGTTTCCCTACCTACCGAATTACAAAAGTTTCCCCAATAAACATTTTTTGCATTTCTCACAGTTATTTTAACAAGAGCTTGTAACCTTTCATATTAAATAAAATTCTGAAAATTCTGATTTATAGCTATGGTAGCACTTATGCATGCTAATAGCACCAGACCAAGATAATAATTGCCTTTGTATATTATGAATTGTTATAAAGACCTGGTCCTTAAATGATAAATTATAGCAATGTAATAATTCACTTAAGTCATGCTTTTCAGAAACACAAAGTGATTTTTTTAACTTATCATACAAAGCTGAATATGCAAAAATATGCATCCATCTCCAAAATACGCATTGATATGCATTTCTTTAATTTTAGCGGGAGCAGACTTTTACTGTTTTATTGTCAATCGGTGATGTTTCGTCTCTGCTCTGCGGTGATTGTGAGTCTTTGACATAATCAGTAATGGCCACTGAAAAAAATATATATAAATGCAGAAAACTGGTGGATGATAATTCATACGTTGTTTATGTAATATATTCAGGTTCTTGTCTAATACTTTACTTGAAGGAGCGATCCAGATATCGATGTTGACGCTTCAGTTATTTTTCATTATAATAGAACCTAACGTGCACATGCCCTGGTGGGGATTAGTATAGCCCCACTAACTAGAACCAGCATCAATACATAATATGAATATATTACAGTTTATATGAATATATTAGTTTATATTTTATAGTATTTGAAGAAAAACTTTCAACACTATAAACTAGGAGGTAAAGACTAGTTTATAGTCTTTACCTCCTTTTATTACTAGACTGCACCAGCACTGTTATTCTGAAGTGCAGCAGGTTGATCTGTCTTTTATTTGAAAGCCATGTTTAAACAGCAAGCATTGATGATGTAATGTTCACTGGATTATCTCAGTCTCAAAACTGGATTTGTTTATGTATATGAATTTGAGACAATCAGTACTTCAGATTTTTTGAAAGATCTACTTCTATGTACATTTTTATGGATTAATCAGTACAATTTTTCTCTTGGATAGTGTCACTAGATGTGCTGTGTGACCCGATGAAGGTGAAGCTCAGATTGAAGCTCCCAGCCGCTTCCAAAACCTGCAGGACTTTCACCAGGACTTGGTGACGGCTCTGAGCTCCAGATGTTCTGGTTTGGAACGTCGCATGTTATGTAGGGTCACATGTCATCATCTTCCAGTAGGTCTCTCTTCTGAAATAAAATCACTTAAAAATTCATTACTTCTGAAGCTCATTGATTCTCAGGCATAACCTACATCTGCTGAGTCAGGAGAATGACTTCCTGTTTTTAATATGCTAAGTTTCTGATACGGGTGCTGGTTCTGTAGCTTTTATTTAATTCCTCATCCTAAACTCCAGACCTCAGGAACCGGCGTCCTGCGACTTGTAGATGTGTCCTTGGTCCAACACACTGACTAATAGCTGAATCATTTCCTCAGTGCAGTCGGGTTCTCCAGGGTAGCGGCCTCATTACTTGACTAAGGTATGTTGAAGGAGTAGTGATGGGCTGCCTGAATCCAGGCTTCGAGGCTTGTACCGAGTAAAAAGGGGGCGTGGCCGATGAAGCCCCTCTTCAAGGCGTGTGTCATCTTGCTGAAAACCACGTGATTGGCAACAAACGAGGCCTCGCATTGCATGGGTCAC